AATCGTTTGTACCCCCATAGAAACACAAAGTGAAATATACTGTTTGAGTACTCGTTATAGCATTAAGCCTCAATGTACAGCACATTAAGGACAGAGATCCTACATGAGGAGTAAGTGCACAGTGACTCCTGTTGTTGACTTTACAAATTGACACTCCTGTCTATGGCATCAGTAATCTCCCTATGCACCAGTCATGAGTTTCCAAGGCTATGGAAGCCCCTTGAGTTCTCCGACTCTTATCTTGTTTAGACACGGTCATAGTCAAAGTGGAGGTTCTCTCCTCCCTTCAGAGAAAGGCACCTCCCTCTTTGAAGACCTGTTCTTTCCACTGGGATCTCACTCACAGAGTATCTCCTCTTGATACAAGCATTATACAAGCAACTTAAACAGATACACTAGCCACCTATGTAGTATGTGAAAAATCAGCCCTAGGTATTCTGATTGCCGTCTGATGAGCCTTACAACAAAGCACACAAACAAAAAGCATTACAATCATCATTTTTAGTGATCTTTCTGTTACTGATCCATTTACACAACCCAAATGTGGCAAGATGGTTTGAACCCACAATGGAAAATTGATGATAGGAGTAGACGTTTGGCACAGTCCTTGAGTCAGCTTTTGGGATGCCCACATCCCATATCAGAGTGCCTGGTTCGAGTCTCACTTCCTGCTAATGTGTACCCTGGGAGGCAGCTGGCGATGGCTCAGGTTCTTGAGTCCCCCTGTTCACATGTGAAGCTGATGGAGTTCTGGGCTGCTGGTTTCAGCCTGACTCAGCTCTGGCTGCTGCAAGCATTTGGGGAGTGAACCAGCAGACTCAAAATCTCCCTTCTTCCGTCTGTCTCTCTCTTTCTGCCTTTTAAGAACTTCAGAGGTCTTTTTTTTTTTTTTATGGAGGGTATTCTAACTTCACTTCCAGGACTCCCAAGGCCCTCAAGAAATTTATACTTCCACTTCAAATTATATAAATGTTATAAATATGTGCACTTTCCTCTGAAAAGTATCCATAAATCTGTACAAGATTATCAAAAGTGACCTATGATTTTCACATCTACAAATCACTGATGAAATAAAGACAAATGTTTCTAAATATTTTACTAAACTCTTCCTGACCTTATTCCTCACCCTCACCAGCCTCATCAGCTTCCATGTCTCACCCTTCTGTCCTCCTCCCGCCAGACTCACACACACACAAAAAGTGCCACACTCCCTAGAGTTTCTCAATATGCCATATGTCTGCTCAGCTGTGAGTTCTTCGTTATCCTTCAACCCCAACTCCTTTATCATCTTTTCAAGGAGTAAATGCCTTCACAGAGCTTTGCTTTTGCCATTCTTTTAAGGCATTTATCAAATTCCTCTAGTTATTTGATTGCATATTTATCTATACCCCTTAAAAAACTCAAGTTCCAACCACAGAGTGGCTGTGATCTGATATCATGGTAACCATTCAGTCCTCTCACCACTCTGGCTAGTTTTAACCAGCAGTCAGGGGAGCCAATCTCCTCCAGAACCTAGTAGTCAGCCAATAAATATTTAAACTAATGAGTGAGCAACTAAACTGAGTAATATCATTGCCAACTAATGGCCTCTGTTTATGTGTCTTCTTTATTTACAAGCTCTATCCTTCTAACGGCCAACAATGGATAATTAAACATGTATTCAATGAAAGTCAATGTAATCCTGGCTTTGTTTTAGGGACTGTGCATGTCCCCTAAAAGAAGCCCATGCCATAGTTTCTTCTTTTTAAGAGTTTCCAGTCCTGTGGCCGACAAAGACTTAGACACGTACACCCCAACTTCAGACTTACTCAGCCTGCAACTGTTTGTCCTCACACAGTACTGTATCACTTACGAAGGAGTCAAAACAGCATAGTCCTCAGATTCTAACCATTGAATTCATGCCTGCCCAAGTACCAAGCTTAAATCGTGTGCATACCAGCTGTGGAAGACCAAAGAATCTGTATGAATTTTTAGAACCTTGCTTCTATCAACTGTGAAATGAAGCTAATACCTCACACGCTGACCTTACAGTATACGTAAAACCCACACTGAGTGTGCAGCAAACAACGGTGATGAACACAATGTTGATAATGAGTGCTGATGATGTCTGTGCTGAGGCTGGGGCTACTGGTGGTGATGACAGCGTGAGCACATTGGACTGAACCCCCAGAGGACAAAGACCGTGTTTATCTGTGAATCTCCAGGACTTACAATAGTGTTTGATACGATAGTAGCAATTAAACAAATGTTTGTGAAGTAATGCTCAGTTATCACTTTTGGCATAGTGGAAGCAAAGAGAGGACAGAAAAGGGAGGGAGTACCTCAAACTGTAACGATCAAGGAAAGCTGTCTTGAGGAGAAAGATACACAAATGGCAGATTTTTGTTCATGATTGGAGAAGAAAATAGGAGTTACGAAAGGCAAACAGAAAGCAAACATAATACTGAAGTTATGCAGCCCATGCCATGGGGGGGAGCCGTGAATGTCCTTTGTTTGGTATAGTGGGGAAGCAATAGGCATGTAGGTTAAGTGCATGCCTTACTGTTATTAAAACTTTACTATTGAGTACTATGCTCAGATGCTAATAACAAGGATACCAGTCCTACACTTTGATCTTTTTGATTCATGCTACAGGAACTATTTCATTAGACAAACTGTATGATATAGTAGAAAAACATACTATTTATAAGGAAGACAAATCTAGGTTTCAGTTTTCATTTTGCTACTGAACTAAGTATTTTACTTGGACAAGTCACTTCTTTAAGCTTCTGTTGCCCCTGATGGGAATAATCATGCCTGTCCCACAGGACTGGTGTGGAGCGTGAATGGGATAATCCATGTAAGGCACCCAGTACCTCGCCTGACGCACAGCTGGGTTCAATGACTATGAGAGCTACTGCTATTTTGAGTAGTGTGAATTGGCGAATTTATGAGCTTGTGCTAAGTCAATGCATTCATTTTGGTTGTGTATGTTTTTGGACATGTAACCTTGAGCTTACTTGATCTGAGAGACTGGGCTTTTTGAAAAATAAATCATCCAGAAAAGGACAAAGAGTAATGTGGTACCACTTGGCTGTTTGTCTCTTCAGAACAACAACAACAACAACAACAACACAGAAAAAAGTTTTAGGCTGGGCGATTTATTAGGTAGAATGTTCAAGTAGAAAATTGATAATTTGCTTTATTAACCATCTGCTGTACAAACTGTCATGCAAATACTGCCTTATGCTTTATGCAAAACATTTGAAAGCCCCTGTGACTTTGTTCTGCTTGGATTTTCTTTTCTGTAGTAAAATACATAATTGAACTAATTTCAAGTGTGTTTGTCTGTAAACCAGCCAAATATTTCTTTTAAATACTTGAGCTCTATGTTGAATACAGAGTTATAGCTCTTAGCATACTATTTTTTTTAGTAATAGATTTTATCCCTTAATCCTTTAATGAGCTTTTAGTTCCACATACACTAAGGTTTCTCCTATGCACATAATAAACGATAGCTTTTCATTTCCTGCAGGTTCCTCCAGGGGACCCAGCCCCCTAACCATGGGAGCCCAGGACACCCTCCCTGTTGCAGCAGCCTTCACAGAAACGGTCAATGCCTACTTCAAAGGAGCAGATCCAAGCAAGTAAGCCCACGACCTGGTCTACTGCATTCTCTGAGCTCCATCCTCTAGCGGAAGAAACCCTTATTCTACAACCCCCTAAAATCCAGTTAATAATAGTAGGTAGCACATCTAGATTGTAGGAGAACATATAATTAGGAATATTAAACAACTGGTTTTAAGGAACATATCAAAAAATACAGTACTCTAATATTCAGTTTAGTAGTAAATGACCAAAACATTTACCCAGTTTAATCAGCAATGGGAAAAGTTACTGTCTCACAAAAGTAAATGTCTAGATCGTGTCAATTATTATCTTAGTCTTCCCTGGGTGATAGTCACACTCGTGTGCACTGGAATGAGAACACAGAAGGAAAATACCTTCTCCAACATCCATAGGAGCAAAGAGACAATTTATGTATCCTACTGAATAAGGAAAAACTGACTCAGCAGAGGAAAAATTGCAATCACAGCAAAGTAAAACTTCTAGGTAAAAATGTCACCACCATCTATTTACATGAGGATTGCGTCATTTACGTCAATATAGACTGACAATGGATTTGCCCTGAAGGGCATATGATAAAAATTAAATTAAATATTTTACGGCTTGGTAGGCAGTTCCATGGATATGCTTTAGGAAGTCTTGAATTCCCTGAAATTTTATTTTGTCACTTATCTGTATATTTTTCCACCAAGAGAGAGTATAGTATCCATCACTTTAATATGGGGTTTCAAAAATCAAAAAATAAATAAATAAAGTGCTTATACCAGTCTACTCAAAAACAAAATACCTAAATCAAATCCTTTTCAAACGGGAAACTAATGCAATTCCAGGTCTGAATTTGATTGCTAAACATAGAGCAAATCTAGGTGTGAGAAAATTGCTCTTCATTTATTTTACTTACAAGGATGAGGGTTTGGAAAATCTTAGTATCTAACATAAAAAGAATGTGAGAAAAAATAATTAAATGAGCATATAGAACAGTAGACTAAAAGTTTTGACAATTAAATATAATTAAAACTTGTTTCTCCACATATATTTTAAATGGAAATTTGTATGACTAATCATGAATCTTTTTTTACACTTCAGAAACACTAGGTTTTTTTTTTTAATTGAAATCAACAATTGTATACTGGAAAACAAATATAATTTGTAACTCTACCACAAGGTGTCCTACTCCAGACACTGGGAACTATTCCCTCCTAAATGTCCTGTCTCTAGCTTTCATTCCTTTCTTTTATCCTCAAAGCACAAAGACTACATGCCAAGTCTACACACTAGCAGAAACTAAAAGCTACCTCATACTAGCACATATGTGAACAGTTAGAACAAGTAAACAACTTTATACTCCCTTAGACACACATATTGGATCTGTAGACTCTACTTTGAACAAAGGCATAACTCTGCCACACCATTTCTAAGAACTACGTATCACCAGCTTACCTAAGAAAATTCAGGCTGGCCTAAACCTAGAAATGCTGACAGAAAAGTAAGAAATTTAGAAATAAGAAACAGTTGAGAATGTGGAGAGAATGTGTTCACCTGAGTGAAAACCCCTGGAACTCACACAGGAATGAATTCCTTTTTGCTTGCTTCCTAACTGGCTAGTATTCATTAACTCACTAATTTATTCAGGGAGGCCTGGTTGGTCTCCCTGCTCCCATATCTGTCCTCCCTAAAGTCTGTTCTCAGTGTATCATATCGTTCTTCAGCTCAGAATCCTCCGACCTTGCCAAAGTAAAAACAAGATGCTGTCTAACAGTCTACAAGGCCCTACCTGTCCTACCCGTCAGGACAACGCCCCCCCCATCCCAGTTGCCACCTGTCTAATCCATCATTCCTCTCCTGATCTTGCCTCCATACCTCACCTTCTGATTCATTGCACTCCAGCCATCCTGGCCTTTTGGCTGCTTCTTGTTCATCACTTCAACCTCATCCGCACACCAGGGTCTTTTCATGTGTTGCTGTCTCGAAAGCTTTTCCCAGAAATCTGATGTCTTTTCTTCATGATCATTCTGCAAATGTATCAGAGAGACCTTCCCTGATCAAGCCATGTAAAACAACACCACTCCTCTCCACCCTCTCAACACTTCCTTCCTCCTTACCTCACTGTCATCCTCCTCAGGCCCTCTCTCTGACATCTTAACTTTTCTCTGTAGTCCAATATCTGTCTCTTCCTCCACTAGAATGCAAGATCCACAAAATCTGGTTTTGACTGCTTCATTCATTGGCGTATGCTCAGCACCAGAAACAGGACCTGGCGTGGAGTGCTCGAGGAATGGCTTTCTGCAAGAGCAGAGCTGAGCTGCTCACCTAACACTACACAATGGCTACTGTGTGCCTGCCATGGTGGTAGACAGGAGATAGACTGGGGATGAATATAGCTGAGATGGAAAATAAGACTTGCATATGGATAGAATACAAAGTTCACTATAGAAGAGCCATAGACATGGTGCAATGAGAACCAAACAGCCCTGGTTAATCTTAAGAAGTGGCATAGGGGCACACCAGTGTGGGCTTGTCACAGTAAGAGTCAGGCTTTTCACACCAGTTCAGTTTCTCTAGCACACTAGGACAGGTGTGTGAGGACGTCTTCTCCTGTGAGCCACATGTCCATGACCGTGACAACCCAATGATGTGGTGCTTTGGCCAAATCTAAATTAGTACTTTTCCTCTACTCTTCCAAGTTAACCAAGCCTTTGACTTGTGAATAAACATAGAGTCTGCTTTTCAATTATATTTCTGTAAATAACTACAGCCTATCCTCTGTGCTGGTAGATGGGATATCCAGTGTATTCCATTAAATTTTTGAGACCTGAAATTTATGAACAGATCATGCAGTGACTTTCTTTGATCTTTAACTTGATCTCCAGGCTGTAAACCACTTTAATTGCTGTTCCTTTGTTACTCGCTTTCAAGGAAACAGCTCAAGTTCTGTCACTGAAAAAAAAATGAACCAAATAGAGAATTGATGCAGAAAGGGCATTTAGATTTGCTTTTCCTGTGGTTCTCTCTCATCCTGCATTACAGCCATTTGTTTTCCAACCACATATTGGAAACAGAAATCTACTACCATAATTATCATGTACTATGATGTATCATCCATTCAAATATCATGACCCGATTTCCCTGCATATTGAAAACACCTGTAACAGGTATTCTGCTACCCGAGTCTTTCTCGGTAGGGCTCAGAGGCAGAGACAATACCTTAGCTTTTCCTATAGGCTGAGGAAATACATTTTCTGTTGTCAGTCCCTGTTTGGACAATCTTGATGCTAAAGAAATAAAGGTCAGCCGTTAATTCTCTAATCTCTCAGAAAACCTTAGGTTCCTCAACTCTATCTTTCCTTCCTTTATCATCATATTTTAATTATTTATTCAGAATCTGTCTCCCTGCATAAACTGGAAGTTGTTTACTTGTCAATGCCCAGTCTAGTGCATTACACAATTCATGATATATTGTAGAGATCCCCTACATATGATTGTCGAACATGTTAATTTATTTTAAGAATACTTTATTGAACTCCTACTCTGTTCTGAATTCTGTATTATACACCTTTGCCTTCCCAGAACTTATGACATGGTACTCACCTTCACAATAATAGGTAAGATGTGCAAGACACAGCAGCCTAGTTTTTTTTTTTTAATGAACTGAATGTGTGTCTAAGGGAAGCTACTGCTACACAGCAGTGCAAACATACGGGGAGAGCATCAGAATGGACATTCACCTGCTGCCCTCCTCTACCCTCTACATACAAGGCCACAGCAGTGTTTCACATAAGCTATTTTGAATGTGTACAAGGGACCACCTCTCCTGAGCCAGGTGTACCTCTTCAACCAGAGTTACACAGTACATAGATGACTGTGGGGCAACACAGAATCCACCCTGCTTAAATAGAAGCAAGGGACATTTATTAGCCTCAATTTTCCTAGGACGTATTTTCTGAACTTAGAGTCGACCACATCAGTCATCCAGGTGGATGGACAAGTTGTAAAAGTGCTCACTCCTTTTCAATACAGTTGACCCTCAGTATCATGGAGGATTGGTTCCCAAAGACACCAAAAGCCACTGATGCTCAAATCTCATATACAAAAAGGCATAGTACTTGCATGAGTATAATCTATATACATCTTGCTGTATACTTTAAATCATCTCTAGATTACTTAGATGACATTTAGTACAGTGGCTACAGCCATATAAATGCTCTGTCAACTCTTGTTATACTATATTTTTAGGGAATAATAACAAGAAAAAATCTATGCATGTTCAATACAGATGGAATTTACTTTTTGTATATTTTCTGTCCATGGCTGATTGAATCTGCAGATGCAGAGGGCTGACAATAGTTGTATTTGCAATTCCCAAGGGAAAATAGTAAGCCTTTTAGGATTCCTGTTTCTAGCCAAGGTAGAGTAATGGGCCAATTTACCCTCCCATCTGAAATAGCTCGAAGTGGACCAGATCTATAAGACAATGAGTTGCAAGCCACTAGACCTCAGGTGAAAGGTGAGGTGTGCGGGCTGGTGGCTCCAGCTTATTTCCTCGAGAGTGTGCAGGCCCAGCACAGGGGAAGCCGAGCAGACTCCCAGCTGTTCAAGGGGAGAGGGCTCCCTGAGGCACTCCGTTATGAAGCCGGCTGAAGGAGGGGCAAAGTAGAGAGCTGCGGAGGGGTGCTTCTAACCACCGTGCACTGCAGCAGCTGCCAGTGGAGAGGGTGCCTACCAGGCACCCGGAGCAGGAGACACAACCTGCGTCTCAGGGGCTGGGCTTGGTTTAGCACAGCCGCCTGTACTGCATGAGCCAAATGACAGAGAAGGTGCTTGTATTCCTGGGCACTGGAAAAGCCACATAGGTTGCCAAACCATGCTCTGGGAACGCCACCTCCATTGCCAGAGCTTGACACTACATAGGCCCTGCCTGTGCAATTCAGGAGTCTGCACAGGCGTGAACAGAGAAAAAAAAAATCCCTTCTTCCCGATGTCTCTCCAGCGCCCTCTACTGACGAAACTCAACATGGCGCTTATTAGCAAAGAAACAGGGCAGACCTGGCAACTATTAATTCTCCCAGGAAAGTCATTAAAAGGTGAATAGAAACTGAAAGATAATAAATTGATTTTATATAGACGTTGATTCAGTGACTCTAAATGTCACATAAAAGTGCAAAGGATCTACAGTAGACAAAGCATCTTTGAAAAAGAGCAAATTGGAGGACTAGCAGTCTTTGATTTCAGAACTATTATAAAGCCACAGTAATCAAGACACAGTGGAATTGGTTTAAAGATGAATGAAATAGAGGCGGGCATTGCAGCACAGTGAGTGAAAAGACCAGAGTGCTGTTCCCCAGATATTCTACTTCCAATCCATCCTGGAAAGTAGCAGCAGATAATGGCTCAAGTGCTTGGGCACAGATGAATCTCCTGGCTCCTAGCTTCAGTCTGGCTCAGCGTTGGCTGTTGCAGTCATTTGAAAAGTGAGCCAGAATGGAAGATGCCTCTCTCTCTCTCTCTCTCTCTCTCTCTCTCCCTTCTTCCCCCCTCTCAAATAGATGAATATAAACTAATAAACATTTTAAAAGTTTACAGAAAAAAATATTTTAAAAAATTAAGACAGATGAAATAGATCTATGGAACAGGATTGTGAACTCAGAAATAGACACGTATGTTTATGGACAATTGAATTCCAATAAAATTTCCAAGGTAATTCAGTGGAGAAATTATATGTTAATTCCAACAAATAATGCTGGAACAAGTAGATGTCTATACACACACACATGCACAAAATGAACTTAGATCCATATGCACACTATAAACAAAAATTGAAAATGGATTATGAAGCTCAAAGGAAGACTAAAATTTGTAAAGAAAACTTCCAAAAGAAAACAGAGGTAAAACTTTCATAACATGGAGTTATCAGAGATCACTTAAATAGGACACCCAAAACTAACTGGATTAAAATTAATCTATTTTAAAAATCTTAAAGAAAAATCAAGTCACACAATGAAAAAAATTCTGGAAATCATATTTCTTGTTTTTTAAACTTTTATTTAATGAATATAAATTTACAAAGTACAGCTTATGGATTACAATGGCTTCCCCCCCATAACGTCCCTCCCACCCACAATCCTCCCCTTTCCCACTCCCTCTCCCCTTCCATTCATATCAAGATTCATTTTCGTTTCTCTTTATATACAGAAGATCAGTTTAGCATACATTAAGTAAAGATTTCAACAGTTTGCTCCCACACAGAAACATAAAGTGAAAAATACTGTTTGAGTACTAGTTATAGCATTAAATCTCAATGTACAGCACACTAAGGACAAAGATCCTACATGAGGAGTAAGTGAACAGTGACTCCTGTTGTTGACTTAACAAATTGACACTCTTGTTTATGCCCTCAGTAATCACCCTAGGCTCTTGTCATGAGCTGCCAAGGCTATGGAAGCCCCCTGAGTTCACTGACCCTGATCATTTTTAGACAAGGCCATAGTCAAAGTGGAAGTTCTTTCCTTCCTTCAGAGAAAGGTACCTCCTTCTTTGATGATCCATTTTTTCCACTGGGATCTCACTCGCGGAGATCTTTCATTTAGGTTTTTTGTTTGTTTGTTTTTTGTTTTTTTCCAGAGTGTCTTGGCTTTCCATGCCTGAAATACTCTCATGGGCATTTCAGCCAGATCCGCATGCCTTAAGGGCTGATTCTGAGGCCAGAGTGCTGTTTAGGACATCTGCCATTCTATGGGTCTGCTGTGTATCTCACTTCCCATGTTGGATCATTCTCTCCCTTTTTGATTCTATCAGCTAGTAGTTGCAGACACTAGTCTTGTTTATGTGATCCCTTTGGTTCTTAGTCTTATCATTATGATCAATTGTGAACAGAAATTGATCACTGGGACTAGTGAGATGGCATTGGTACATGCCACCTTGATGGGATTGAATTGGAATCCCCTGGTATGTTTCTAACTCTACCATTTGAGGTAAGTCAGCTTGAGCATGTCCCGAATTGCACATCTCTTCCCTCTCTTATTCCCACTCTTGTATTTAACAGCGATCACTTTTCAGTTAAGTTTCAGCACTTAAGAAGAATTGTGTATTGATTACAGTATTCAACCAAAAGTATTAAGTAGAACAAACAAAAAAATACTAAGAGGGATAACATACCAAGTTGCTCATCAACAGTCAGGGTGAGGGCTGATCAAGTCACCGTTTCTCATAGTGTTCATTTCACTTTAACAGGTTTCCTTTTTGGTGCTCAGTTAGTTGTCACCTATCAAGGAGAACAAGTGGTATTTGTCCCTTTGGGATTGGCTTATTTCACTCAGCATAATGTTTTCCAAATTCCTAACAGGGATCACTTTTCAGTTATGGGAATCATATTTCTGATATATGATTTATATCCAGAATATATAAAGGATTCTCAAAGTTCAATGACAAAACCTTGATTTAAAAATGCAGTGGAAAATTGGAACAGAAACTTCCCCCAAGTAGATAACCAATGACAAATAAGCACAGGAAAAGATGCTAAAGATCACCAGCCATTGCAGAAACGCAAATTAAACCAACAAGGAAATGCCACTACTCACCTATTAGAATGACTAAAATTAAAAGGACAGATTCTACCAAGTGTTGGTGAAGGTGTGGAAGATTTGACATTTTTATAGACAGCTATGTTTTTCACTTTACACAGTTGGATGGGTTCTTTACAAGTTACAGTTACAACCACAGTGTGACCCAATGATTCCGCTCCTGTACACTCACCAGGAGAAATGAAAGCATATCTATGCGTGTACACACATTCATTACCCACTTATTTACAAGAGGCAAAAATGCAAAGGACTCAAGTGTTCCTCAATAGCTTGAAAGCATTTATTTGTTTTCATTTTATTTGAAAGGGGAGAGAGATGCTTCATCTACTGGTTCACTCCTTAAATGCCCTCAACCACCAAGGCTGGTATAGAGCAAAGCCAGGAACCTAGAACTCAGTTTGGGTCTCCCACATGGGTAGCAGGGACCCAAGTAAAGGAGCCATCACCTGCTGCCTTCTCAGGGTGAGCATTAGCAGGAAGCTGGATCTGAAGCAGAGATGGGACTCGATCCCAGGCACTCTAGTGTGGGATGTGAGCATCCGGAACTGCTCGTAACTGCTTTGCCAAACTCCTGCTCCAAGTGAATGGACTTTAAAAAACTGGTATGTATATCCATATACCACAACATGGCAACAAAAAGAAACGGACTATTGATACATACAAGCACATATAAGAATCCAAAAATAATTATTTTGAATTAAAGAAGCTTGACTCCCCCCCAAAAAAAAACCACGTATCTTACGATTCTGTTATATAAAAATTATAATGTGCAAACTAATGTATTGTGATGGAGACAATATTATCAATTGCCTAGGACTGGGAAATGAAAGAGTATGATAGAGATTACAAAATAGAGACTTTTAGAGTCTATGGAAATATTCACTGTTTGGTTTTATATTCCACATCATCTGATCTTATAGAATTTTATGCTAAGAGTTTTTCATTTAATTTTATCTGTATGTCATCTGTACCACTGAACTGAAAACAATGACTAAATCTTGTGTGTTTTGCCGTGTACCCTGTCACCTTCACAAGGCCTGGCATATAGTCAAAAGTCAATGAATATTTGTTAATGGTCATAGCATGTTTTTTTGTTTGTTTGTTTTTGAGAGAGAGAGAGTGAGACAGATAGAAAGGTCTTCATTCCGTTGGTTCACCCCCCAGATGGCTGCTACGGCGCGCTGTGCTGATCCGAAGCCAGGAGCCAGGTGCTTCCTTCTGGTCTCCCATGCAGGTGCAGGGGCCCAAGCACTTGGGCCATCCTCCACTGCCCTCCTGGGCCACAGCAGAGTTGGATTGGAAGAGGAGCAACCGGGACTAGAACCCGGCGCCCATATGGGATGGCGGCACTGCAGGCGGAGGATTAACCAAAAGTGAGCCGCGGTGCTGGCCAATGGTCATAATATTCTATTGTCACATTCTAATTCTGGGGGTGTAGAAACAAAAGGCTTAGTTCTTAGAGCACGTTGGAATAAACAGTTAAATTGGACATTTTAGGAGCAGTATTTTTCTGAAGGAACTTGATGTATTGAATGTAAAATAAAATAAATCTCTCAGTTAATAAGGAGCAAGGACAAAAAAAGAATAAATCTCGCTCAAATATAAAAACAAGAATCATTCTTTGTTTCAAAGTATCACCCTATTGTATTAATTCCTATTTTATATTTTATTCCTGATTTTATAATTTTTAACAAATAGACAAGTTAATAAAATAAGGAACTGGTTAAAAAAGAAAGAACTTCACATCATGAATTTAAAAAACACACACTCAACACTTAATCATGTTACTCGAAGATCTAAAGTAAGTCACTGTAAAGTGTGATAATGTTGTGCAACTTAATATCTTCAAATATGCTGGTCCAAGTTTCCAAATCAAAATGAGAGGGAACCACCAGAGGGGGTAATTCTACCCCGAAAGAGGAAGTTGCATTTTTCTTCCCATTCAAAACACATTCCACATATAGCTACGTTTTCTTTTCGATCAATGTTAAAGCGCTGAGTTCTCAGCTGAGTTAGAATGAGGCTGCCACGGTAAGAGCTTGCCTGTCGTCTTGCCCACCACTGAACGTTAGTCCACAAATCTTTGCTTTTCCTCAACTGTTTTGATTGGCAGCATATTTCCTCTCTGTTTGCTTTCCTGTGTTTTATGCCAGATGCATCGTTAAGATAACTGGAGAGATGGTGCTGTCCTTCCCAGCCGGCATCACCAGACACTTTGCCAACAACCCATCCCCAGCGGCTCTGACTTTCCGGGTGGTAAATTTCAGCAGGTTAGAACACGTCCTGCCAAATCCCCAACTTCTCTGCTGGTAAATATGATTTTGCCCACTTTTTTTTTTCTTTTTTGTAGCACTTTGGAGTGTTGTGATGAATGTGCCTTAACAAGAGAATACCACCGTAGTAAAGCTACTACTACTGCGATATCCTAATGGTCTCACACAGAGCTTGCACCAGCTGTCCAAGTTTTCTGGGGGTGACTGACTGTGAAGGACAGCTGCATATGCCCATATGTATTTTTAATTATTGTTAACTTCATTGTGGACATATATGTATTTTTAACAACCAACTATCTCAAGTAGTTGAGAGGTATTTAGCTTAGTCAAATCTGAATTAGTGACAATGTGTGGATCATTTGTTTAACTTATTATCAATAGACAAGGAGGCGGATAGCAAGCAATGACACTAATGTCAGGTGAAAATCCTTGTATTATATTTGTGTCTTTATAGATGAAATGATATTTGAACTGTGAGCTATGCTTCACATCAGTTTGAAACTCTCTTCTGTGAAACTGATGTAATCTCATTGTAATGGTGATTGTTTTTGAAAGAACCTTGCACATAGGACATCAAGGAAGCTTATATGAATTTATCTATAGAAACATACTTTTTCATATTTTCTAGAGATTGAATCTGAATATGATGTCTTGCACACACACACGTGTACAGTCACACAAGCATACACACACGCATGCTATTACAGTGAAAATGACATCTGGTTAAGTGCTGGCCATGGAGTCATTCTTAACAGCTTCTTCTCCATCACCACATGCTAATAACCCACCAAAAATTTTCTCTCTGAAGAGTCCACTTTCCTCCTTTTCTGCAACCTCCCTGGTCTGTGCAGCTACTGCAATGCTTCCCCTTTCCCCCCTGAATTCAGTCTTGACCGACCTACTCCAATACATTTCCACCATCGAATAAACTTTTACAGGGTGAGTTGGATCTCCTTTTTATATAACCTCCCAATGTGCCCATATTTCACCTTATCTGAGAATCTAAATTTGCCACCATTGCCTTTGAGACCCCGAGTCCTCTCCCCTGCTTGCCTCTTGGTTCTCATCTCTCACTATCCTGCCCCAGCAGCCCTCTGGCTGCAGCTGGACCTGTCACCCTCAGAAACTGGCTGGCAGGTCTTGCTGGGGTTCCTCGGCCCCAGCACTCCCCGCGGGCCTCTTTACCTGACTGCTCCTCCTCCTCAGGCTTCAGCTCCACTCTGCCTCCCCGGTCAGCCCATCATGCAACCTACCACTCACCCAGCCAAGCTAAATGATGCCCCCTTGTTATCAGGATACCTTATTCTTTTTCTTTGCAGTATTACTACGATTAATAATTAAGTATCAGCTTGTGTTTCTTCCCTCATCCATCTCCCCATGAGCCCACACAGTCCATGAGGGATGGAACACATCCATTATTTCATACCCTATCCTCAGCCTCTTCCTCTGTGCCAGGCATCTGATAAAGACTTGAGTGATAGCAGTCAAATGAATGAACAACTCAACCATAATTTAAACAATGTAATCAAGCTAACATTTCTGTAAAAATAACTGAACTGTGTTGTCATTTGGAGTCTGAGGACAAATACCTGCATTCATTGTTTTGACTGAATGAGACCTTTTTTTTTTCGATATTTACTTATTTATCCAAAAGGCAGAGTGATAGAGAGAGGGAGAGAAAGAAAAAGAGAGAGATGACCAGGCTAAAACCCAGAGCCAGGAGCTCCACCCAAATCTGCACATGGATGGCAGGGGCCCAGATACTTGGAGCATCCTCTGCTGCTTTCCCAGGCACAATAGCAGGGAGCTGGATTGAAAGCGGAGCAGCCTGGGCTGAACTGCCACTCCAGGACATGATGCCAGTTTCATAAGCAGCATCGTAACCCGCTGTGCTGCAGTGCTGGCCTCCTAAATGAGACTGTTTAATTCCAGTGCTGATAAAACACTCAAGGTCTCCCAGGTAATCACATCACTTCCTCCTCTTTGGCCCACATTTGGTAAATGTGGCTTACCCGGCAGACTTGATTCCAGATCTTAAAGTGCAAAAGAGGTTGTGTACTGATCAAGATTAAAAATCAGCAAATTCTTCTTACCACTTCCCTCCGTGCTTTTGTTGTGCATGTTGAGCCAGTTAATGTTATTTTCCAAGGTTTCTCCATGTGAATCTAGGAGTTATGTTGTACATATTCTCGATACAATAATTACATTTTTATGACATGTTTGGGCAATTACATTGTAATTTTAAGGTATATATGCAAAGAAATTTTTTTTACCATGACCAAATGGTGTTTGAATTATTCAAGATGCAAGAATAGTTCAACATTTTAAAATCAAATGATGCAATTCATTAAATTTACAGCCTGAATAAGAAGTCACATCTGCATGTCATTCAGTGCAGGAAAAAAAAGTACTTGAAAACTCCATGTATTCATTTTTTTATGAAGATAAACTTTCTTTACCTTTTTGTAAAGCTTTTATTTAATAAATGCATTTTTCATAGGTACATCTTTAGGAATAGAGTGGTTCTTACCCCTACATTTCTTAATGTATGGATTTTGGTAATTGAATTAAGTATCACTCAAAATGTCTTTACTTTTGGACTGACATTGTGGTACCATGCGTTGTCAGCACCTGTGACACCAGCATTCCATATCAGACTTCTGGTTTAAGTCCCAGCATCTCTGCTTCCAACGCAGCTTCCTGGTAATACACCTATACTTGGCCCAAGTACTTGGACTCAACCCTGCCACCCATGTGGGAGACCTGGATGGATTTCCTGTCTCCTGGCTTCAGCTTTACCTAGAGGTGGCTGTGGTGGCCATGTGGGGGGAGTGACCAGCAGATGAATGATCTCTCTGTCTCTGTGTGTCTCCCTCTCTGTGTGTTAGTCACACTGCTTTCAATTAAATAAATACTTTTAAAAATATTTTTGCTTGGCAAAACATTACAGAGACCCTTAAATTATGGTAATTATGATTTGCAAGATGCAGAAAGAAAGAAGATTCCATTAGTTTGGACTTTAGTCGCTCTCTCTACTTGACAGTTGTGCTAGGGCAGTGATGGGTAAGCATCTGGTTTTGTTATGAGGTGTGTAGCTCCACCACCACCACCTGCAACCCTTGCTCTTAAAAGGTAATGGTGACCAAGCACATTTCTTGGCTAAAGCACAAGCCTCCGACATCTCTCATCTTACACACAGCAGTTCTCTCATTTGGGGTCACTGGGAGATTTAATTCACGTTAGCAGTAAATTTTGACAGAGGCCAAATTCAGGTTTGCTTCTGCTTTTCCCTTGTGAAGAGAGATTGCTTGTAAAAGATGTTCAGGAACAATTGTTAACTCAAGGATGAGACTGGAGAGCTCTTGAGTCTTGTTGAATATTTAAGAATGCCATCTCTGCATAAGCACTTGACTGGCAAAGTTTTCTCTGATATTTATTAAAGCTGATTCTCTGAGAACTTACCATAGACATATGACTTAGCTTGTTTTGTTACTAAACCGAACAAATGAATTTCTTTTAAAAACAGTATAGTTGCAATTTGCCTCAGGTATGCAGATCTCCACTGCATAAATTAATGACATTTTGCTAGATATTCATTCTGAACCTCTGCTGTGGTATAGTGGGAAAGTGTGACCTGTAGGACTAACCAGGGCTGGAATCCTGACTCTGACACTTAATAGCTGAGTGTCTTAAGTGAGGGACTTCATTTCACTGACGCTCTGTCACTCTTCTTTTCTGCTTCCTTATGCAGTGATGGCTGTGGAAGCTTCGGGTAACTTACTTCCGGATAGCTCTTAGCATCCTTTGCTCAGCTAGACCAAGGGCAAAACCTCAAGGGCCAGAAGTCTTTTCTATCCCCTCCCTCCATTCCCAGAGCCAAAGAGCTTTGCCTTGTCCTTAATAACCTTGTACCAGGCACAGCAGAACCTTTGGGTCAACCTGGCCGCTCCCTCCCAAGAGACTATGTCTGTTTTAAGGGCCTGGTGTTTTTTTGTTTGTTTGTTTTTTGAGTCAGCTAACTTGATTTGTTTGACTTCTGGAGACTGAATCATAACAATATACTTTTGATCTACCTGTATCATTTTTTTCACCCTTCTCTCTTCTTAATCTCTGATTTTCTCTTGTTATAAGCTTGTTCATCTTTAAAAACAAGAAAACAGTTATTGCTGTGCAGGGTAAATTTTAATGAAATAGCTTATATTGTATATATGAGTGCCTTTCCCAAAATAAGTGCTCAAGAAATTATAGCTACTATCTATTATTATGCAGAATAGTCTGTAAGTGAAGTGCCAATCAATGAGTTGTGTGAAGCTACTGAATCATTTGGGGCCTCGGGTAGTTTGTACACAGTTGCTTGATTCTTTTTAACACTGAGACAAGCTTTTGCAAGATAGATTAGGTGAGCTGTCTGTGGACAGGCCTCTGAGCCAAACTAACAGCTCTCAAAGGGATACAAAACGCATTCATCAGCATGGCACTCTGCCTCTCAACGGTAACTCATGTGACTACCATCATTTAAACTGCAGATTCACCTGTGCTCTTAGGTGCACTATTGTGAAAGCGGAAAGGGGAGCATGGTCATTTACTATCACTCTTTTTCTCCTTAGTTGTGGATAAAGAACGTGTTTGCGTTTGGGCAAATCTTTAGCTGAATAATTTCTGAGAAACTACTAGTTGAATCAATTAAAAAAATGATTCTCTTCAGCTCTTTGACTGCATTAACTGATTAATTTAGATGAAATCCTGGTGATGGAGAAAGAGCTATTAAGTTTGGGCTCATAAATAATTCACTCTTTGAAGCAACCAGTTGTCATGATGATTGATTAATATAATTGGGTCCTCACTGAGATTTATAGTAGTGCAGTAGCTCCTTCCTATCAGTATTGATCTATTTACATAATGCCATTCAGAATTTCCTTTGTACTAAAACCACGTTACTGTTAATAGTACAACTTCTAAAAATTGTCAAGATGGATATAGAAATCTGATGAAAACCTGCTTAGATGCTTGTTATAAGATGTTTTTCAACCATTTTTTCTTCCTAATTGAATAGTGATAACACACAAAGTGATGCCAATAGCAAAGAATTCTGGGTAAACATGCCAAACTTGATGACTCACCTAAAGAAAGTATCTGAACAAAAACCCCAGGCTACGTATTATAATGTGGACATGCTCAAATATCAGGTAAGCCTACTTATCTAGCCAAGGTATCTCATATTGTAAATGTATGTTCTAAATAGCTAATATTTAAGTCAATAAAGTAATATTTCTTTTAGTATTATTTAAAAGCTGTAATGTGTAAGAAAAATGAAGCTTTAAAAGACTACTTGGGGGGCCAACGCTGTAGCATAGCCACAAAGCAGTGCCCGCATCCCATGTGGGCGCTGGTTCAAGTCCCAGCCACTCCACTTCCAATCCAGCTCTCTGCTTTGGCCTGGGAAAGCAGTAGAGGATGGCCCTTGAACCCACATGGGAGACCTGGAGGAAGCTTCTGGTTCCTGGCTTCTGATCAGCACAGCTCCAGCCGTTGCAGCTGCAGCCTTCTGGGGAGTGAACCAGTGGACGGAGGACCTCTTTCTTTCTCTATGCCTCTGCCTCTCCCGTCATCCCACACTGGAGTACCTGGCTTGGATTCCTGGAGCTGGTTGCTGACTCCGGGTTCCCCCCAGTGCAGATGATGGGAAGTAGTGGTAACGGCTCAAGTAATTGCATTCCTGCCACTCACATGGGAGACCTGGATTGATTTCCCCGTGCCCTGGCTATCATTTGGGAGACTGAACAAGCAAATGAGAGCTCTCTATCTCTATCTCTCTACCTCTCAAACAAATAAATTAAATTTTTCTTAAAAATTCAAGAGGCATGGGCGCCAAGGTGGTTCTGCTGGAGACCACTGGGCAGCGTTGTCATCTACCTGTACACAGAGGAGCGGCCGGGCCACAGGGACCACTGAGCTCACTTGCCTGCTTTCCCCTCTCAGCACAGTCCCGGCCAGGAGTCAGCTCCAGCATCAGGGCTGCTGGTGCCTGCGACCAGGCTGATGTGTCGGCGGGCTTTGGTTAGAAAAGTTTTGGTGAAGAGATTCAGCCTGGGCCAGGCATTTCATGTGGGTGGAGGTTGCTCGCCATCGGTGGTCAGCCTGGAGGGCTGCCTATGCACTACCCTAGCTTTCATGGCTTTCTTTACTCGTGAGAGGAACAACTACAGATAATGCTTGGTGTGTAATCAGTGAATCTCGATGAAACAGCCTGCTTGAATTTCTGAAAGTTGTGCAAAATAAAATATTATAATTATTGCCTTCTCCACAATGTACAGAGGGGCTTTATCATACAAACTGGTGATCCTACAGGCACTGGTCATGGAGGAGAGTCTATTTTTGGTCATCCGTACAGTGATCAAGCAAGCTTTTTGAGGCAGAACAAGTGGCAAGAATTAAACACAAGAAGAAAGGCACTGTGTCCATGATGAACAATGGCAGTGATCAGCTTGGATCTCAGTTTCTTATTACTACAGGACAAAATCTAGGTTACCTTGATTGTGTTCATACGGTGTTTAGCAAGGTGACGGAAGGCATGGGCATAGTTAAGAAAACTAATGAGACCATGGTTGACAAGGACTTTATACCATGTATAAATCATACAGTATATCACCTGGCATACATCTAAAATTATCACTGCTTTCAGATGACCCTCCTGATTTATTAATTCCTGATTGATTACCAAAACCCACAAGGGGACAATTAGATAGTGGTCATATAGGAGCAAATGAAGAAATTGATATTAAAGGAAGACCAGTGGAAGAAGTAGAAGAAATAAAGGCAGAAAAAGAAGCCAAAACTCAAGCTATTCTTCTAGAGATGGTGGGAGACCTACCTAATGCAGCTATTGAACTTCCAGAAAATGTACTTTTTCTTTGTAAATTGAATCCAGTGACCACAGATGAGGATCTGGAAATACTATTCTCAAGATTTGGGCCAATAAGAAGTCGTGAGGTTATCCAGGATTGGAAGACAGGAGAGTCTCTCTGTTTTGCTTTTATTGAATTTGAAAAGGAACAAGATTGTGAGAAAGCATTCTTTAAAATGGACCATGTATTCATAGGTGACAGAATACACATGGATCTTAGCCAGTCTCTTGCAAAAGTTAAATGGAAAAGAAAGGGTGGGAAATACACCAAGAGTGATTTCAAGGAGTATGAAAAGGAACAAGATAAACACTTTAATTTAGTTCTGAAAGATAAAGTCAAACCCAAACAGGATGAAATATATGATCAATACTAGGTGAGGAGCCGGAAGACTCAAAGTCAAGTCACTCACACACGAGTACAAAACATTTCTTTTGCACTCAAAACCCAGCACTGCTCTGAAGACAAAGAAGATGAGGACTACGTGCCAGTCAAAACTACTAACAGGATGTCCACAGGGAGATGAGGTTTGGGTGCTATGAAGAAGAAGAAAGCTGTTGGGAGAAGGAAGAGTGGTAAGAGAGACTGACCGCAGAACTGAAGTCGCAGCCGATCTCAAGAAAGGAACGGCCACAGTAGTGACAGTCACAGAACCAAACACCACACTGTCTCTCATAAAAGGAAAGGAGTAGAAGGAGGGCCTGAGGCACAAGTCCAGAGAAATCCAAAGAAAAATCTAAGTGTGGATGAAAGATGAAGACTCAGAAATGAATGGCGAATGTATTTACTTGTCTCTAATTTAGAGTACCAGGAAAGCAGACTGTTCAGATTTCGTGTCAAAGCAGTTGAAGACTCTGCTTGCTATTACGGCCCTTTCAGATTAACACTGATTCGATAGGGCAATGGATGATAAGGAATTAGGCGGTTCTTTTTTTAACATTAAATTTATTGCTATATTAAATGTCTATCTTCAATTTTAAAGTCCTTCGCATTTTCAGTCTTTTTTAAAATCAAGTCTTTCATATTACAGAAATACACAGCCACATATATATGAGGCATAAGGTATAATAAATGTAAATGTCTGCGTAGCTATCAGCCAGCTTAAGAAATAGACCAGCACCTACATTTTAGAAGTCCTCTGTGTGCCCTCTCCCTCTCCAGTAATTGTTACTCTGAATTTTGTTTGTCATTCTCTTGTTCGGTGTTATAGTTTCACTATGTATCCCTAAAAGCAATGCTAATTTTTGTATGTTTTTGATTTTTATATAAATGGCTTAATGTAAAAAAAAAATATTCAAGAGGCATGCCACAATGAAGTTGCAGAAAATTGCATCAATTAAGATTTTGTCAGTATTGACAAATTGGATCACTGCATTTTATTAAGAGCATTTCTGTATTAAAACTTTATTTTAATACAGATAAAGGTAGACAGTCTTTTTCTAGAGTGATAGTCCTATGAATCAGTCCTAATAAAACATATTAAGAAATAAGTCAACATAAAAAAGAATGATACACATCATATTATACATGAGAACCTTCTTTTTGCTCTGAGGATTGCCCTTATTTATAATTATTGCTGATCTAGTAAACAAACCTGTGTCAAACCAGGATCTTAGAGTGCCTGAGTAGCTGCTGATTTCTACTCACTTCACTGCCTATACAATTTTTAGTGCATTGCAATTTTTATGATTAAATATGTTCAGATAATTTTTGTGTTCTTTGTTTTTTCATCATCATTTAAAAAATTTATTTTAATTTTTAACTAGTCTTTAACAAATTCAATGTGATTTGTAGATATAATTCTAAGAACATAATTATACATCTCAAATATGATTCACCTTTCAATCACCAAAGAAGTATTGATTCTGCATTGGTGCCAAAAAGAAATACACACACACACACACACACACACACACACATATATATATAACACATAAATTTACATGTGTATGTAAATACTGGATATGAAACTAAAAAGTACACAAAATTTACCTATTGTAATATCAGATTCTTGTAAAATATAAAAGAATAGGCAAGCAACTGAATTTTGGAAATAAGTCAGTTTTCTACTTACCACTGTCTTTGGGCACTTAACCTTCCAGAATCTCAACTCCTCATCTGCAAATAAAGGCAATAATGGCACGTACGCAGATATTTTCTAGTTTATTGTAAGGATCCCGTGGCCTCATGGAGCCTTTCTAAGCGCTTTGTGGGATGTAAGGAGCCCAGTCCTGTCATTGTATCTTGAAGAATGCTTCCAGGAATCCCTTTTGCTGAGGCTTAGCTGTGGTTTTGTTCTTGCTTTTCAACAAAAAAAGGAATTGGAAAGGAGGCCCAAAACAGCATTTTATGGGTTAGCCCTCAAATCACAGAATATTTAGTTTCTGTGTACCAATAACATATTTCAGAAACTGGGACAATCAAAACCATACTTTCACATATCCACAAAGCATTTCCCCAGGGAGGGGAACTATTTTCAAGTTGAGAACCCCTGCTGAGAATACAGTTGGGGAGGGGGGTGGGGTTTTGCTCTGCTTTCGGTCTAAATAAACGTACAGTTGCAGAAAAGATTGTACTGCTGACAATATTAAAAACTGAAACTATTATAGTGGTCAGTAACTAAAACTGTCATCAAACACCATATCTGTCATTTTACAAAAAGAACCCATTTCTGGGCTTGTTTCTAGGGCAACCACTCCTGCCTTGTGAGCCCAACCCGCCTTCAGGACTCTTCCCCATTGGTCCATAGCACAGACATTCTCTAGAGAAAAGCAGCAAAAACCACAGTCCATGAGTGAGACTCCAAGGGCACACACATCTTTCACATGGTCCCTACAGCAACGAATTTACCAGCTTAGGAGGAGAATCTCCCAGAGATCTTTCATCGTCACAATGAACAACCGAGAAACAATAACAATGAATTTTTCACTGTGGATGTGGGATTCAAATCGATATTATTGTCTTTAGATAAGGGAAATCGCTGTGGATTCTTCAAACTGGGATTTGTATTGGTCTAACAGTAGAATATAGTGCTTTCAGTTAGAAGACATGGATTCAAGTCCTCAATTTGGAAAATCCCAAAAGAGTAAAAATAACCTGCTTTTTTGTCTAACTCATCATTTTGTTGTCAGGTGAAATATGGTAAGAATATTAATAACATTTATTGAAACTCTAATGCCTTACTATGTGCTAGGCACTGTGCTAAGCCAGAGCTGTGGCATAGTGGGTAAAGCCACCACCTGCAGTGCCAGCATTCCATATGGGCACCAGTTCAAGTCCCAGCTGCTCCACTTCCCATCCAGCTCTCTTCTATGGCCTAGGAAAGCAGTAGAAGATGGCCCAAGTCCTTGGGCCCCTGCACCCACATAGGAAGACCTGGAGGAAACTCCTGGCTCCTGGCTTTTTATCGGCACAGCTCTGGGTGTTCCAACCATTTGGGGAGTGAACCTGTGAATGGAAGACCTCTCTCTCTCTCTTTGCCTCTGCCTCTCTGTAACTTTGCCTTTCAAATAAATAAATACATACTGAAAAAAAAAGTATTCACATGATAACTTAAAAAAAAACTGTCTTTCGATCTTCCTGACAACCCTATGCATAAATAGTATTGTTTTAATTCCCATTTGCCAGGTGAGAAAGTAACTGTGCCTCACAGAGCCTGAGTAAGTGGCCAATCTCACCCCTAAGACTCATGGCCTCAACTCCTAACCGGCGTGGTTTTTCACCTGCCCAGCGGTGCATTATAAAACCAGAGCGCCCTGGAGTGCTTAGTGGTTGCTTTTCTGTTTTTAATCTGCAGCGCTCTGGCCCACTCGCACCCGGCAACCTTCATGGTGCTTTTCACCGACAGCTCGCTTGTGAGCAGCTCAAACATTACGGCATTCAGACACCTAGGCTCGGTTGTGTGGGAGATAATTGTAGCTTCCTGTTTTGTTTAGGAGGAACAATTGAGCCTCAAACCTTCTCTTTCCTGTCATTTGGCAAGGTGTCAGCCCAGGGCATTCAGTCCACGCCTCTGAACCTGGCCGTGAACTGGCGGTGTGAGCCGGCAAGCACTGACCTGCGCATAGATTACAAGTACAATACGGATGCGATGAGCACCGCCGTGGCCCTCAACAACGTGCAGTTCCTGGTCCCCATAGACGGGGGAGTAACCAAGCTCCAGGCCGTGCTCCCGCCGGCTGTCTGGTAAGCGTCGCCAGTCCCTTTTCTCTTCACCAAAGTGCTCCTTCTGTGTAAAAGGGCCACAGACGTCTTAGTACGGGAAATCGCAGCAGGCTTGTGTGCTCCGGGCTGGCCTGGGAAACAAAAGTGGCGGCCTCTGTTTTAAGTAGGAAGTAATGTAACGTGGGCATGTTAGTGCTGGCACAATGGTCGAAGGGCTAGAACAGGCTGCAGGCGGGACCACCAAGAATGTTTCCCAGAGTATGTTAAAACTGGAGTGCCAGGGTGGCCGCTGCCTCCAGCACAGCCGATGGAAGCAGGAAATATACAAGATGCGCGGTGGAACCGCTGGGTTCAAGATCCCACCACGTTGCTGCCATCCAAGAAGCCCGAAGCCCCCAGTGGCACCTCCTCACTGCTTCCCAGCACTCACAGGACTGGAGGCTACACAATTCCCACATCTTACTGCTGGCCAGAGGAAAACCGGCGGCCGAGAAAGCAGCAGAATGGCCTCTGCCTTCCCTATCTCAAACTGTGCATGTGTTAGTGGAACCCAATTCGCAGCTATGACCCTAACTATAGGGAATCTGGGAACTGTAGTGTTGTATTTTCTAGCCCCTGGACTATAAAAAGGCACATCAGAAAAGTTATGGTATTAGAAACTGAGCTGATAGTGAGTGCCAACAGCATCTATCACAATGAACTTGTTCTAGAAAGAACATTCCATCGTTCTTTCCATACGACTATCAGGAGCAAAAGGTAGGACATTTAGAAAAATGTCAGCCAGACGGCAGCCCCTAAATTAGCTTATTAACTACACGAAAAACCTGTTCTTCAATCTGCATTGTGCTCTAGGCGTGTATCTCACAGTGTTGGAGCTAGTTACAGCAAAGGGATAAGAGAACTTATGAGTGTGTGTATAAATAAAGTGTTAACATTTCAGCTAAATTTTTCATGGCCCATGCTTAAAATTTTACTATATAGAAAAATATGATATCCATTAAACAAAAAATGCACATGCAGAAGCATTTTGCCTTTTTTCTTTAGGAATGCGGAACAACAAAGAATATTGTGGAAGATTCCTGATATCTCTCAGAAATCGGAAAATGGAGGTAATGTAATCAGAGATGTATATGATACGTAAAGCTGAAATGTTTTCTATGTATTAGCCAATGATTAACCAAAACACATATGGTACTAGAAATAGAATATTTTGCATTTATTCATGTCAATTAATAAAAGCAAAACTTCCAAGAAGAATCCTCTTCCCCTTTTCTCCCAAGACCTCACATCAAATCAACCATCTCTCAGGCACAGAAGAAGACTTGTTTATGGGATGGGGGGTTGGCACAGTGATTCAGACCCTGCTTGGGATGCCCACCTACCAGAGACCACCTGGTTTGAATCCCAGCTGTCTGCTAATGCCCCCCCTGGGGAGCAGCAAGTAATGGCTCAAGTATTTGAGTCTCTGCCACCCAAATGAGAGAGCCAGGTGAAGACCCCGGATCCCAGCTTTGCCAGTTCCTGATGTTGCAGGCATTTGGGGAGTGAACCAGCAAATGGAATAGTTCGTGGTCTCCATAGCTCTTCCTTCAAGGAAATAAATAAGTAAATAAAAAAATAAAGGTGTGTTTCTGTTCATGTCAGATCCCATGTTCCCCAATTAGGCAGATATTTCTCACTTTTCTCTAATATTAATCATAGATTGGAAAATATACATCCTCAGCATGCTCCAAAATTTTGAAGTATCTTTTGCCAAATTACACTTTTACCAGTGTGCAAATAGAGTTTTTATAATATTCAATAATTTTACGCATCACCATTGTGCCACTATTTCCTACTAAGTTTTATTTGGGATGAGAACTTTTGAATATAATTTCCAAAGTCATTTTCAGAAGGTTGTGTTGACTGTTATCTTTTAACAATATTATTTTTCTTTTTAGGGGTGGGTTCTTTATTAGCAAGATTTCAGTTATCTGAAGGCCCAAGTAAACCTTCCCCATTGGTTGTACAATTCACCAGTGAAGGAAGCACTCTTTCTGGCTGTGACATTGAACTTGTAGGAGCAGGGTATCGATTTTCACTTATCAAGAAAAGGTTTGCTGCAGGTAAGTGAGCTTCATTTGTAAAAATAATGTTGTATTAATGACTCTTGCCTTAGAAGAAATAGGTTTGGGTTTTCTCATCCTCTTTCCCCTCCCAGTTAGAAAGCAAACCAATTATTGAATGAAATAAAAATAGGGCAATGAACTGAAAGTCAAAAATCAAAAAGACTCTGGGTACTTATCCTGGCTCCATTTCTTATGTAGAGCTGACCAGTCATTGTATATATTTTATACTTTATATATATTTATATATACTATGTATATAAATGCGTGTAGTGCGTATGTAAATGATAAATATGATGTATACATACTTTGATGATGTTAATGGAGTAAGTCCTACTTTGTTTTTGGCAAAAAGATTAACGCTGTTTACCTTTGAATTCATCTCCTGCTTGAAAACTTTTTATTCTCTGAAAAGACTTCATAAATTTTAAAGTGGTTGGGTTTAGCTGAGATCTCTATTAAAAACCATCAAGAATATAGGTAACAGATGGGGACGGTCAATGAACTGAACCTGCCCATATGACAGGTTTCATCTGATGCAAAGGATAGGTTTTGTTCTTTAATTCATATGGGGGAAGGAGGTTCCCAGTACTTAGGATTGTACTTGCGGGTGATTAAGTGGGATAAATCCTTGCTGTATGCCTGCTGTACTGATTTAATTATTAATTATATGTCTCTCACTCTCAAAAATTATTTCCAAGTTGGAAAATAAATTATATGAGCACACGTCCTAAAATAAGCTGGACTCTCCCATCCAGAAACAAATCTGACACCACATTCTGGGCAAAACTCAAACCTCTTAACAATTGATGATCTTTGGAAATGTGGAAAGGCAACTGGACAATCTGTAAAATTGAGAATTGAAACAACCGTTAAGTATTTTACATGAGTACTGCACCCCTAAAGTAGGCATAGTTGGTTCCTAAGTATACAGCAGGAGGAATAGAAATGTTTCTCTTGAATACTCACATTATTGATATCCAATTTTGATACATTGTTTTGTTTTGCAGGGAAATACTTGGCAGATAACTAATAAAACCTTATACAAGGATTTGGAGAATCCATTTAATGAAGAACTGTTGTATGAGAAACAGGTTTTAATTTTGGTTTGGTGCAAACAAACCAGGATCTGCACTTGGGATCTATCAGCTAGGAAGTCAGTGACTTTCAGCAGCGAGTTCCCTCACACAGTACCGTGATGACCAGTCCTACAGTATTTACTTCTAGGTGTAATATTGTTAATGGTTTTAAAATGTAATTATTGTATTTGTAAATTGTACTCTCATTCCAGTAAGGCAGTTAGATACTTGAGTTTTAGCATTTTACCATTCCTGACAAGGATGTAATTTAAACTGTGGTATGTAAATTTAATAGTAGTACTGTTGACCGGCACAATGCTTACAGAGGTAGATTGCATTTTGTCAATATATAAAATTTAAATATAATACTGATAGCTGTCATAAAGGGGGTGCCACATATAAAGAAACTTATATGGAATCAGAAGAAAAAAATCAAACTTACTTTTCTTCAATCCTTAGTATGTTTTACTCTAGTGCTAAATGAAACTTCTATCTTCAGATGTTTAGTGGGTGAAATTCAGAAACTATTTCAGAAAAAAAAATTCTAAGGTTGCAGCATATTCAAAGAACAGCATTAATTACCACTTTTTAAAAAGCTTTTTTTTCAAACTGCAAATTTCATAAAAATGCAAACTGTGTAAACAGGGCCTCTTATTTTTATAACTTGTGTAAAAAGGGAAAGCAATTCATATTTAAAGTTTAAGTATATTAAATTATAATCAAGAGTAAAGAAGATGTTGAAGTCTTAACTACTTACCCCTCTTACTACAGTTGAGTTAACATAGAGATCGCTGAATAGTCAACCAAACTGAACCAAAATTGCGATTTTAAGAATTCAGAACCTTCCATGGCCGAACTGGCTAGTGGCTTCTGCACAATTACTCTGAACAGATGGTCTCTGTCCTCCGGCATGGGGGTGACATCTCATGTCTTCCTCTTCGCCCACAGGGAACAAACACTTTGAGACTAAGAGTCTCAGAAACAAAATTTTAGTCCCTTATTTAAAACCAGAAGGAGAATTTTAATTGCCATCATTTATATCATTTGGAAAGGAAAAAAAATGTATGCTTTATAATGCAATTATATTCACATTATTATGCAATAAATTTCCTTTGGATTCATTATATAAAACTGTACAACTTTGCCATTTCTGGAGAATCAAGAGGACAGTTGTCAGAAGTTTATGTCATTTCATTGTTTCAGGATATACTAAAAACTAATTAGCTTGCCTCCACAGTATAGGAATTCAGAGAGAGCCTGTAAAATGTTCTCCCAGTAAGATCTGAAAACACTGGTCTTCCTTTACATCACAGCAGTTATTTTGAACATATCCCAATTCCTATTCTAGATTATGCTCTTCAGTAACTATAATTATCAAGTTGTAATATTTATCATTAGTTGTTACATTTCATTTTATATCTATTCAAATTTGACAAAGGATCTTTAGCCCCTTTAAATTTTAGAATCTGAATTTTTTTAAGTCTTACTTTTAAAATGAGATGACTGGCAATTGTTTATAGTAGAACTTTTTAAATAAATATTTGTACTCCTCAATCAGTGCTTACTACCATAAGAATGTTCAAAATGATCTGTTTTGGTCTGGAAGCATATTAGTATTGAAAAAAGCTCTTAATTGGCTCCCCAAAGCAGTCTATTGTTGAAACTTTTTTTGGACAAACTAATTAGCATACTCATTTTAAATAAAGGTACTCAAATTTGAAATCAAAATAGAAAATGGAAAATATTAAGTCCCATGAGACCTGGGGAAATTTAGAACACCAAAACCAGTGGAAAAAAAACATCAGAAAATTGAGGGTTATCCAGCATATAAATACAAAAATGTGTTTTTAAGTAATCAAGTCATGAAAAAGCATATTGAGTATTAACACAAAGCATATTAAAAATGTGTGAATGTTACTGGTTCTCATGTCTTTTTCTTATGTATGATTTTGCTTTATATATATTATATATATATTATCTAGAATGAATTAGTAATTAAATACAAAGGTTTTTTCCCCAAAGAATAATTTTTTTGATATTGTAAAAATGTAACTAAAAACATAGATTATAATAATCTTAGCCATTATTCAAATGTTTCCATGGACTACATTTGACACTATTAAGAAATCCCACAGTCCTTAATTGATCTTTATGAAACAGAATGGGAGAACCTCAATGAAAAATGTAATCTTTCTCATTTCAGAAAACAGGTCAAACAATAACACAATTAATTCATATCGGGGATTTAGACTTTGTCAATTTATTTTGTTTTTTAATCTTGTAGATGATACTCCTCTGTTATACCTATATCTACAGTACTGTAGAATAAGAATTTATGTTTTGAAAAATGATCCTAGACAATGCAAGAATCTTGGATATCAAGATATATGAAAGTCAGGTATGCCATAGGTTCCTAAATTAGAACAAAGTGGGCTAGGGAGTATTAAGACAATTCTTCAGTACCAGGGTTAAAATAAAAAGAAAGGATTCTAGTTTACCAGAACACTATTTTCTGAATATTATGATTAAAAATGTTCCTGCTGTAGCAAGACAGAAAGTATGAATGATACTGCTTTATTTTGACAACATGGAAAATGTGTTTTTCTTTTCAAATAAACTCCACATTTTCATGAAACTTTTTTAAAAGTAATTTTTATTAAGTAGTCTGCTTTTATCATAATTAGAATTATAATTACTAATAATTAAATTTCAATTAATTTGAAAACCAAATCTTCTCTGCATCCATAGCCAAAATGAAAATTTCCTGTATGGTATTTGGGACTATATTTCACCTATTAAAAAATACTTATATTTTAAACGGTTTTGAGTAATTGGGAATCCCTCAGCAAGTCAGATTGCAGATGTTATTTTCTGGTTTTGTATGTTTTTACTCAGTCTCAATATGCAATATTGGAGCCATGACTACACATATTTCCATTTCTAAATCCTTTTTTCAAAGAAGCAGATAACTACATTAGTGCTACCACTAATTGCTGTTGTGAGACCCTGGACAAGTCACCAACCCTTTTCAGTTTTGCATCTTTAGAATAAGGGGTTGGGATTGCCAGTGATTTTCAAGCTTTTCTTAGCAAAATTTTTTTTCTAATACATTGCATATGGAATCCCATTATGCAAAGCAACTCAAAGCAATGAAGGGGTAGTTTTTCCAGAAATTTAAATCTGGGCTCCCAGAACACTGTTTATATCAGGCTACTTTAAAAAAGTTCATGGAAAATAAAATTAAAAGGCAAATTTATTTTGGTGCAAAAATTTTTGAAATCCATGCATATGAGAGGCCTTCAAAAATTTGTGGAAAATGTGTTGTGAAAAAGCTATACGTGGAGTTCAAAAAGCTCCTTCTCCATAAGTGATCTATAAAGTCTCTGAAATGCCATAATTCTACTTTCCTCAAACCCATTTTGAAGTTTTAAGTGGAAACTTACACAGTCACAGTACTTGATGATTGATACATAATAAAAATTGGTATACAAGAGATTTTTGAAGTGGTCATAGAAAATATACATTTTCTTTTAATTCCGTATAATGCCATTTAAAAAAATGTAACCTCATATACTTGAGTGCTTACCATGTACTAGTCACAATAGTTGCTAGCTCACTAAATCCTCGTGTCCATCCCCAAATCGTAGCTACTCTTTATTTCCTGTTTTACAAATAATGACATTGAGGTTTAGGCAGAATTACTCAGCCAAACTACAGCTGAAAGTGAGTAACCCAGTTAGTTTAACTGAAGAGTTATTTTAACTTAGATCTGTTTTCTTCGTCTATTCTGAGAAAAAATCTTCTGTTTCATTTTACTTCATTTCAGTCCCAAAGTATAAGGCACTATGAAAAAAAAGTATTAGAATAAGGACCATTCTGATAACAAAGCTGTTGGAAAAAATCAGTATTTCTCCACTATAAGTGGACTACTTATATCATTATTCATTAAAAGAGAGCAATGATTTTTTTTTTAATTTTTTGCCAGGCAGAGTCAGACAGTGAGAGAGAGAGAGAGAGAGTTATAGACAGTGAGAGAGAGAGACAGAGAGAAAGGTCTTCCTTCCTTCCTTCCCTCAATGGCCACTATGGCCGGCACTGCGCTGATCCAAAGCCAGGAGCCAGGTGCTTCCTCCTGGTCTCCCATGCGGATGCAGGGCCCAAGCACTTGGGCCATCCTCCACTGCACTCCCAGGCCACAGCAGAGAGCTGGACTGGAAGAGGAGCCGCCGAGACTAGTACCCAGCGCCCCAACTGGAACTAGAACCCGGGGTGCCAGCACCGCAGGCGGAGGATTAGCCAAGTGAGCCGCGGCACCGGCTGGCAATGATTTTGATAAGTAAAAACGACTGTATCCCCAAAGCCAAGAATATAGTTGGCAACATTAAGTTCATTTTAAATGATTAAATCTGTAGGAGTGGGACAAGGCATATGTATTTTGATAAGCACTCAAAATTTGAAAATCACTGCCTAGTATGATCTCTGGGGCCCTTTTTAGCTCTGACATTACATTCAATTTTAAGCATTAAAGTCTAAGTTGAATACCATGTTTCTAGTTAGTTTATTTTTCATTTAATACACTTAACTTCTTTGTATCTTAAAGGGGGGAGGAGAAGTTTTCTAAGAAAAATCTTTGTCTTTTCTTTAGAATTCTTTAATTATGCTCAGTGTGAATATAGCTTGAAGTGCACTCTCTCATTTTCAGGTTTCTGTCCTTTTCTGCATTGGCTGAACAGATTGGAAGTGGTAGGTAGGTCGGAAGCTATCACGCATTGCAAATCAAAGTCCTAATAAAGGTCTCCTTCCTGGTGAGAGACACTCAGACTAAATCGTGACTCAACTATGTTTGCAGGCTACTGACTTTAGAAGCATGAGTTAGTCTCATTCCAGATGAGTTGCACTAATCTTTTTTTTTTCATTTTTTCAAAATAATCCTGGGCTATTCGTTGAAGTTGAATGATTCCATGAAACAAGCAGCTATCCACTGAAGAGATGAGTACATACTTACGTGTCTGTGTTTAAATTTTCTCTTTCCCAAAAGATTATGCATTTTGAACCAAGTCCCATTCAATCTAAATCTATTGGCTTTGCCACATGGCTGTCTCATCGCATTTTTTTAAATGGCAACATGATTTTTAAAAGTTACTATGAGGATGATAAAAAGTTAAGACAAGCAGATATGATATTTCCATGAGACTAGTCTAATTAAGTTATTGATGTGAATGAACAAATCAATCCAAGGTAACATTGATTTAAAAAATTGTTCTGATGACCCCCTTCACCATCCGTTTACTGTATCCATTTCTCTTCAGACTTTATGTTCTCTGCTCCTACAGGTTTTTTTTTTTAATTTGCAAAGCAGTATCTAAATGCCCTTCTCTCACTTATGACTTATGAACTAAATATGGCTGCTATTGACTTTTTTTTTTTTTTTGGCCCATAGAATGTTTAGAGGGAAAATGACATAGACTGTAATTGCTTAAGTCTTCAAATGTTAACAAACATTACAAACAGAAAAAAAAAAATCTGCCTTTCTCTTGTGGCATTGCTTTGATGTTCTGTCATCTTCTGGAGGCCAGAGTTAAATTTTAATATCTAATTGAGCTCTAAGTATCTATCATAAAGAAATGTCAGATTTCAGGGTCTATCATATGGACGTGGTAAAATCTCTTAATTGCCTTCATGTTTAATATCTCATTTCTATCCCAAATGGGTATTCCTCTGACAAAAAATCATCCTGTGTTGACATTCATCATAGATACAATAATTTATTCTCTAGGTTGAATTTCTCACTTTATTTTTTCTTTGATTTGTAGTATTTCTGATTGCCTCCTTCTATCCCTAGAGTAGATCATTATCTGTCCTGATTACATTTTAATCTTGTGAGAAAAGATGTTTAAACAAAAAACAAATATGTTTTTAAACGTCCCTTAAAGTTTAAAAGAAAAGAAATATATTTGAACCATTATTACAATAGTTCCCAAATGGCTCTCTACCATAATTCTCACTCTTTGGACACTGATAATAAATGCTTGTGTTTTACTGAAACTTAATCAGGAAAAGAGGGTTTTTTTTTTTCTTTCTAAGCACATCTTAAAACAACTTTAAAATTTTTTTGTTTGAGGGCTATCTTATTTGTCTTTCAAGAACTGTAAATAATATAATGAGGATGCTTTGAAAAGATGTTTCTAGAATTTTGTTTGAATCTTAAGGGAATTCTTATAATTTCAAATGAATTATCTATCTTAAATTTCACTAGTGTCTCTTAATGAATTTAACCTTATCATCTAAAATACTTAAAGTAGTGAAATTATTTCAATCTCTTAAGTATTGTCTTTAAGGCCTGCACCTATGCCGTCAAACCCTTATTTGTTGGAGATGTTCCAAAGTTGTTATAGTGAGGGCTTAATGATCGTGAACAATCTTCAGAATACTTTATTGGGTAACTTGAAGAAATTGGATTATGAGAGATCAATAGTGACAGTATTTTTACATAAGCATCTTAGAAAGTACATAAAAAAAGTTACAGCGACGAGCCATGCACTATTCAGCACAGATTCTGCAGCCCCCTACATTGTTTTAATGAGCATTTCAGTTTTTTGATTCCTGTTTTTTGCTTTGCTTTATTTCACAAATCAGTTGTTTTACACAAAACTAACATTGTTCCTTTAAGAAACTCCTAAATTTTCCATTATCATATAGAAAAGAGTAGCACTTTACCTTTCTCTAACCTTAGTACAATTTTTGATCTATTCAGTGCTTTTGAATCAGCCTGATATATCATAAGCCATCTATTATTTTAAATGCTCCATGAGTGAGTGTCTCAGGCAAATGTTACTTCCATGTTACTCATTCAGTTTTATATTACTTTAGTGACCATTTTTTCCTAGTAAAGCAAATAATGTTATTCATGCATCATCATTTCAAACTATTTTAAATAATACACCAAACGACTAGCGCAGGGATCACTGCCCCAAATCCAAAGCCAGATTTTTTTTTATTTTCATTACAAATTGCTAGGATGATAATTTTTTATAGCTGTGTTGATTTTGCAGGTCAGTATTGAATTCTTGCTTTGGCAAGTGGATATGCATCAAAAAGATTGACTCCTGCATGATTCATTCTCTCTCTCTCTCTCTAAGGGAACAGTAAAACTGCTGCTGAGTAGCTATTCTTGGAAAATCCAAGTGTTCGTAGGGTGATACACTAACCTTATCTGTGAGCAGGATTTCACAACAGGCCAAGCAGTAATTTACAGACCTGGAGTTTTAAGCTGCTTCAACACTACTGTTTCGCAATATAAAAGCACTGTTGTGTGTTGCTCTATAGGAAAAGATTCATATGCATAAAATGGTTGAATTTTATTTTCATTCTGAAAAGGCAATGTGAAACATTAATTTTCAACTTGTATTTTAACAATAGGAGAAACTACAGAAGGAATCTCAGAGAAATTTTACTGTGTCTCTAAAGGCGATGAAATTCAGAGAAAATATCCTGTGTCCTTTATTTTGATTTTGTGGTAGCCTTTGTTTAGATTTCCCTATGACCTATATAGTGAAAATAGATGGAATTTTCTTAAGATCTTGTGCTGAGTATTGAATTTCACAACATATCTATTTATAAAAAGGATTGTGAATTAAAATACTCAAGGTACTTTTTAAATTTAGTCAAAAAGTTGGTGCCTGGGCTTTGTTCGCTCCACATCCAATCGCAGAGTGAAGTTGATTGTGATTGGGCGACTGCTTAGTCTGTCATGGAAGCGTGGCTGCCTGTATGCCCTGCTAAGGAGAAAACCAGCACAGGAGGCTAAGGCTGTTCCTCCCAGCCACGCGGCAAAGCTGTCAACAAAGATGTCAATGTGCGGGATTGACTTACTGAAGATCATCATGAGACCACCTTAACGTCACATGCCTTATAAGTTAGACAAAACGTGGATATCACTGTTTTGTAAATAAGGATTTTTATAAATGTTTTTCCTTTGTAAGTGTCCCAATCACCCATTTCACAAAATCCTGAATATGCAATTGTTGATCATGATGCATTACTGCAAATAGGGTTCCCATTTCAAAAGAAGTTGAATTCTATATGTAAGTTGTTATTGAAATGTGATTTTTTTTTCTGGAAAATAAATGAGAACTATAAAAGCAAATTGAGTTGTGAACCTCTTTTATTGTTAGCCCTTTTAAAACTTACATTTCTGGAAAGACTCCACTGCGTGTTTAGTGTGGAAAAGGTTGGCCAAGGGTCTGGCAAAGATCAACATTTTAAAGGCAAACAAAACTCTGGTTAGTAATTTCAACACAAACCTGAGCATGTTACTCACTGATTCCCTATCTCCTTATCTTAAAAAGTAACGGAGCAAAGTCTTCAATACCACAGTCGCTGAGTAACTAGAAAGCAGTAGTATTTACCAGTCACCTAGCGGTTCCCACCTAATTCACAGTAGATATTCCATCCTTTGCAGTTCGTATCTTTCTGCCAGTAGGGATTGGAATGAGCCAGAAAACCCGAATGCCTTTCTGCCAACGCTGTCCTAACAGTGTGACCCCACTGGAATCCCAATGATGTACTCCCGGCAGGCACACCACTGCTACCCTCACCAAGGGCCATGCAGAGGCTGGGGCGCGAGGCTCCTGTGGTCTCCACTCCATGACCGTCAGCTAGGGAGGCTCCCTACACAATTCGCTTTGTACGCTTCTGGGTTGGGGAACTGTTACTGAGGAGGAGGAAGAAGGTGAGTTCCAAGGCAAGCAGCTTCCATGGCAAGGCTTCTTAAGTCTTAATGAAAGGGGTGTTAAGGAGCAGCAAGGAGCCCAGCCCCTTTTGTAGTACCTGGACTTCAAGACCCGGAGTCCCGGGAGCCCTGGGCGGAGCACTTACCACCTGAGAACCTCAATTTTCTAGATCTGTAAAGGAAGAGCAACCCTTTCTTTACAGGTGTCGTTACCAGGGGCCATCAGCAGCTGGCATACAGGGGCCATCTATCTCCGAGCGGGACGCTGGAAGCAGGCGTGGGGGCCGGGGAGGGAAAGGGCTGCTTCTCTTTTTCTTCGTGCCCCTGATTCCGGGTCGTAGGAAACCGCAGCATTTTCTCACTCCTGCCCCCTGAAATCTGCACTAAAAGGGAACAAGGTGAGAGGCTGCGTCTTCAGTCCCCAATGTCCTCCTGGCTGTAAAATGAACCAGTTCCCCTCCTACTCGCCGCCAACCGGGACGCAGCAAGGCCAGGGCGGCCCCCCTCCCGGCCGAGAGGATGAGAACCACTACATCCTTAGGGCGCCACCGAGGACCACAGAGAGGCCAGGCTTGGGGGCGGGCCGAGGGCGATGTTTGAGGAGATCACCCTGGAGACGCGCCGCGGAGTCCCCGGGTGAGTGCGTGAGCCGCAGGGCAGATCCGAGTGGGCCTGGGAGGCGGGAGCCGCACCGCGCACCCGTGCCGCAGAGACCGGGCAGCAGGTCCCAGAGGCCCGCGGAGGAGCCGCCCCCACGCCGCCGCCCTGGCCCTGCCGTAGGTAAGGGGAGAAGAAGGACCGCGCGGGGAGCGATCAGTCCCCCGCCTTAGCCTCCTCCCACCCTCAAAGAAGAAAAAGTGACTCCAAATGTGGGGACTAGCAGTGGGTGCCCGCGTTTGGCCGCTAGTCCACCTGCGCTGCGGGACTTCCAGGGCGATGCCCAACGCAGACAGGCCAGGCCGCAGGGTCAGCTCCTGGTGCCTCAGTGGCGCCAGTCCCAAGCGGTCTTTCCGGGGCCCCGGCGCACCCATGGGGACCTCCAGGTTCCAACCCAGGCCTTTCTTAGGGAGCGCCTGCCCGCCGAGCTGCTTCTTCGGCAGCCGCTGCAGGGAAGTCTACGGGACCTCGGTGAGCCACTCAATGACGCTCAGAGGTGTCTCTCCACACTTGGGGACGCGCGCACGCTTGCACGCACAGGTGTGCGCACGCCGAGTCTCAGGCACACCTAGGGATGCTCACACTCACGCTCCACTGCCTCCCTTCCCAACACACGACACCTCTGCCCTATTCGTGAGCCCAACCTTGCGCTCACACCCAGGACAGGGTTTTTCGGGCGCTGTTCTTGTCAACGTCCAGGATCCTCCAGCTTTGGGTTCTATGCTTTAGCGTCTAGCACAGTGTTTCCTTGCTGTGGCTTTCGGATTTACAGATGGTGGAATGGATGGTGGTAGGCAGTAAGGACACAAAAACCGTAGTCTAAGTTCTCAAGTAAATGGTCATGGCCAGCTTTGCCATAAGCACTTGTGAAAAGGAGGTAGATTTTCCACTAAGTTAGTTAGAGATCGAATCCCGAAGTAGGCATTTGGCTCGGCTTTTAAGTCACCCATCAGAGTGCCAGGGTTCTGTCTCCAGCTGTGGCTCTTAATTCCCTCTTGGTGGCCAAGGCAGATCCTGGGGGAGGCATTCGTCACGGCTCAAGTAATTGGGTCCTGGCCACTCAATAGGGAGACCTGGATTGAATTCCCAGTTCTGATGGCCCAGCCTCAGCCTTGCCAGCATTTAAGGGATGGGAGCACTCGCTCACTCGCTCTCTCTCTTCTTCTCAACTAAATAAATATTTTTTTAAAAATAGTTAAGTTCTATTTGCTAAGTAAATCACTGATGCTTGGGGAGGGGAAAATCGTTTGGGGAAATAGCTCATTGCCAATTACAAAGTCACAGGAACAAAAATATTAATTAGCAAGTTTTTATCAAGATCAAATATGGGTGAGCCAATAAACCGGTTGGTTTCTGGTATGAGATAACATGTTTCTTCCATATGTTTCATCCATGTTTTCCCCATAAATTTCTCCCTCTTTCGCAGTTAAGCATTTTTGCCAGAGCTTATTACCTGCTTATGTGAATTAAGTACAGTACAGCATGAATACAACTTAGGAGAGTTCTCAGACCATACACTACATACTGCTCTCGGGGAGACCCCACTGTCCCATTCAAAGACTGTAGGATAAGTACCTATGTGCTTTAGGAGGCTGGAGTCTCTGGTATGCTAAGTAAAGTGTTTTTGGAGCTCTCTTCTGCTGTTTTATGAGTCTCCCTCTGCAGGTTATTCTGATGCCAGACATTGCTGAAGACAGAGCAACTCAGTCGTTGAAGAAAAGGGGGAGTATGTCCTCTCTGAGCAGCCACGAGTTCCGGCGGAAGGATCTTCATGGGCGCACCAAAGAGTAAGCATCGCCATCTTTACTGACTTCAATTCAATTACAGAATAAGGAAGTTCATAGTGTTTATAATGAGAGAAAAAAATGTCCTTGAGAACACCAAAAAGAAAAAGAAAAGTAGGGGATTGCAAAGTTCAAGTTACCTCTAAGGACCATAACTAAAAGAGAGTGAGTGTTGAGCTGACCCAGCAACATTTTTGCTATTTCAAATTCTACCCAGAAAAACTTTCTACTCAAAAGAAACAACACATCATGCTACTCATGTCTCTTTTGAATTCTCCCCAGCAGTATATAACCATATAGTTTTTTGCATTTTTAATGAGTGAAATTTTTATGAAGTTATTTGAAAATCCAAGTTACAGAAAGAGAGAAACACACACACACACACACACACACACACAGTTCTTCCATTTGCTGGTACCCTCCCCAAATGCCCTCAACAGCTCAACAGCCAGGGCTGGGCCAGGCTGAAGCCAGAAGCCAGAAACTTAATCCAGGTCTCCCATGTGGATAGCAGGGACCAACTACTTGGGTGATCACTGTCTCCTGAGTGCACATTAGCAGGAACTGGAGTTGGAAGTGGAGCAGGGACTTGAACTCAAGCATTTCAATATGGGATGTGCATGTCTCAAGCAGCATCTTAACTGCTTTACCAACTGCCTGCCCTGACTTATTTCATTTTCACTGTATACTAAGTCTCTGCTTGGTTGCTTCTCAGCAGTATAATCAGTGGGTCAAAAGGTAGTAAGTACCTTTTTTGGTTCTTGCTACATATTGAATGTGCTCTATTAAAGAGATGGGTCAATTTTTAATACATTCATGACACTCCTTTCTGTTATTTATTGTAAAGATTGATTTATTTATTTAAAAGGCAGAGCTACAGAGAGAGGCAGAGAGAGAGAAAGGTCTTCCATCCACTGGTTCATTCCCCAGATGGCCACAAAAGCTGGAGCTGCACCGATCTGATGCCAAGATCCAGGAGCTTCTTCCAAGTCTCCCATGCGAGTGCAGGGACCCAAGGATTTGCGCCAGCTTGAACTGCTTTCCCAGGCCATAGCAGAGAGCTAGATCAGAAGTGGAGCAGCTGGGACTCGAACCGGTGCCCATATGGGATGCCGGCACTGCAGGTGGCAGCTTTACCCACTATGCCACAGGGCTGACCCCTCTGACTGCTATTGGAAAGAAAATTAATTATCTGATGTAGCAGTCAATTAACTTAAATAATAGGCTTTCCTTCTTAACAGTTTCCATAAGACTGAAGAAGGTGGTATATTATCTCCCATGTTGGGAGGTAGGAATTGGTATGTTTTGTAGAACAGAGAGTAGGAGAATATGAATAATAAGAATTATAAAACCCAAATCTTTCTATTCTCAGAGTGCATTTAATTTTCTTATTTGCACTTTCACTTTTCAGCCTTGTAAGTTTGTGGATCACAAGTATAACCTCCCTCTTTCACACATGGGAAAACTGAATAAAAAGGAGAGTAGCAATCCCAGCACATATCTGAAGTAAAGATGGGAGAATAATTAACTTTTGTAACTTTCCCTCTGACCCTAAGTCATTCTGGCTGCTATTTCCAAAGTGTACAAGTCCTTCCCAAAATTATATTAAAATAACTATTAGCTGAAACTCAACTTACTTTTTAAAAAACTACAAAATTTTTACATAAATAATAAAGAAAATAATTAAAATAAAATAAATAAAAATGCTCTCATCCAAAGGCTAAACTATCATCTCTATTGCATAACTTTTCTTTATCTCTTACCTTTTGGGAAAAGGTAAAAAGTCATATAGAAACAGATATTGGCAACATTTGAAGAATTAGAGATAACTCCTTTTTAATCAATTAATAATGAACTATAAATGCAAATTGCAAGTAACAAGAATACAAAAATAATTTTTCCAACATATTAGGATAATTTTCCACCAACAACCACATTTAAGTAGTCATCATTTCAGTTTTGGACTCTCAAAACATTCAGAAAGTTTGAGCTATTTACAATGTGTTTCTTAAATAGCAAATGAACGCCTTCCATGTCCCTATGCAATGCAGACGTGTGAAGGAGGCTTCCTCCCCCTCTCTGCCTCATACATGCTCTCCATGGTCTGTCTGCGTTCAGACGGACTGGGTGATTTTCCTTGAACTAGTAGAGGCATTATGAAAACTTAGTGACATTCAAATGCAAGCATCATTTTGAAATTATGGTATTTTATGGAAAAGCTTATACTTTTCACTTGAAAATTAGTTCAAAACCATCTTTGACAAGCTAAAGGTCAATAGCATAAAACATACCCTGAAGTATAACTGGGGACCTAACACAGGATCTCATTTAAAGTCTCCAGCACTAATCCTACTGAGTCGACATTGTTCTTACTATTTTATTATGAAATAACTGAAACTTTCATGTCAGTTAACCTGACTCAACAACGAGTATAAAAATCCCAGAGCATGAGGCCAAGGTACAGGGGCCACAGGCATCGGCCCCTTCCATAGCACCATCTTCCCCGCCCCACCCCACTCTGCATCCTGTCCTGTTGTCAACAGTTCCTCAGTGCTATCTCCGGCCTCTAACCATTGCCCTGTGTCGCTTCCTCGTGGTACACCCCTGCTCCCTGCTTGGAATGCCTTTCTTAAACTCTTCTGGCTTCCTTCTCCTCTCCCTTCAGCATTTACCTTCATCTCCCAGCTTTCCAGTTATCCAACCATGATCACATCCTCCGCTTGACTGAGTTGTATGCTTTTCACATCTTCTCCCTGTTGCTTTCCCTTTCTATGTAGACCTGCGCTTGGCCAGTTTCTTGTCTAGCTCCCTCAACAGATTTTGAAGTTCTTTGCCTTCATAGCCATGATCACACTGAGAAGGGGGTCAGGGAGAGCGAGGTAGCCTGGGGCAGCTGCTCCTTGAGTGGGGTGTGAGCTCTGCAGATTCAGCCCTACAGCCTTGGTACCTATGTCCACAGCCTTCCACAGCTGTAACCAATGCTCCGCAGTGGTCCTTGGACATAATAAATATCTGAAATGTCTTCTGAATGGTGAAAAGAAGACTGAACTTATGTTCAATATAATTATTGCTAAATGTTTTCAGGATTAGATCTTTTTATTTGAGTTATAATTCATCATAACGTAATTTTTTATGTTTCATGGAAGGAAGAAGGAAACATCTTCCATGTGGTCTTATTATCCTAACCCTGCAACTATTAGCAGGCTGGCTTATTTCTTTCATGCCTTCATAGTTGATATCAGTTGTTAGCTGTGATTTTGAATTTTGCTTGATTTTCACTTAAATAATTTATAATAATAAAAATGGCATTGGCTAACTTCTTAGCATGAACCTGATCTGTGCCTCATAAAAGGCCTATTACCCGGGATTAGCAAACTATGGCCAAGGGCCAAGTTTAATGCCACCTGTTTAGATTTGGTTCCTTATCTAAGTATGGTTTTCAAATAGTTGGAAAAAATGAAAAGGAGTGCAATATCTTGTGGCACATGAAAATTATAATAAATTCAAATTTCAGAGCCAGTGCTGTGGTATAGTAGGCTAAGCCTCGGCCTGAGGCGCCAAAATCCCGTATAGGCACCAGTTCATGTCCCGGGTGCTCCTCTTCTGATCCAGCTCTCTGCTATGTCTGGGAAAGCAGTTGAAGCTGGCCCAAGTTCTTGGGCCACTGAACCCACATGGGAGATCTAGAAGAAGCTCCTGGCTTTGGGTCGGCTCAGCTCCGGTCATTGCATCCATCTGGGGAGTGAGCCAGCAGATGGAAGACCTTTCTGTCGCTCCCTCTCTCTGTCTGTAACTCTACCTCTCAAATAAATGAAATAAAATCTTTTTTAAAAATTTCAAATTTTAGCATCTATATATAAAGTATGCTAGAACACAGCCATGTCTATTCATTTATGTCTCTGGCTGAATTGTCACTAAAATGGCAAAGTGGAATAGTTGCAGCAGAAACCATAGGACCCACGAGATCAAAAATACCTGTTATTCGACCTTTTACAGAAATTTTTGCAGACTTCTACTTTATAAAGATAGATGCTATTATTACCCTCAGTTTACAAATGAAGAAAAAGAAGCTTACAAAAGGTGAGACACCATAGTTAAAGAATTAGCAAATAGCAAGAGGGGCTTTTGTTTATCTTTCAAGTATTTTCATTCCCTAAGACTTGACAGCCCATGTTGAATTTGCATTAATGGAGCTCTTCTTTAATTCACTGGACCCCTCTGTTTCCCTGTGCTGTATAAGAGCAGGTGTTCACAATAGCAGGTTCCACAGAGAAGCTCAGCCTGTGGCAGACGTGGGGCAGTGTTTGAGCAGACGGGCTTTTCTCCTGTCCTTAAAATGCAGACAGAAGCCATGAGCTCAGGTTACTTTTTCAGGATAATGTGACATGATTTCCAGGCTTACTACCTCTGAGGCCAGGACTGTCTCCAGTACATCAAGGCTAAGGTTGCAGACTGAAGAGTCTTTTTGCCTAAAACCAAAATTGCAGTGACATTATGCTACCAGAACTGTCTGTATGGATCCCACAGCTGTCCACCTAGGCCACACTACATGTACTCCTTCACTTGTGAATTTATTCAGAAGTGAATGAACTTCGACTCTATGTTAATATCATGGCACATGAAGGTGAATAACTAGAATTCTAACCTAAAGAAGTCTGGGTTTGAAGTAAACAGCCACCGGATAACCTTTTATTCAGTGGATTAGGCTTTTCCAGTAAAAATGACCAAAATGGAAAGGATTGCCTTCATTGTCTCCTCTGGTGTATTTGTTGGGCAGAATACATCCAAGTAGTGTGCTTGGTGGTGAGTTACACAGAAACAATCTCTGATCTTGTGGAGTTTAGAATCTAGAGCGCAAGATAGTCAAGTAATTTTTTTTAAAAGGTTTATTTATTTATTTGAAAGTCAGAGTTACACAAAGAGAGGAGAGGCAGAGAAAGAGAGAGAGAGAGAGAGAGGTCTTCCATCCAATGGTTCACTCTCTAATTAATTGGCCGCAACAG